GTTCAGCAGAGAGCGAGATAACCTAATGCGTGTGTTTCTATATGTTTTATAAATTAGTCGAATACGCAATCCATCAAATATGTATTTACTTATTAAAGAAAGTTATATTTTTCGAAATAAAACAATGACTAAAAAGATATGAAAAAACGCGATTTTTTAGGGTTTTTTTGGTTTTGACCTTGAAAATGACTTTGGCGACAATTTTTTTTATCATATTCATAATAAGCACATCAAAATACATAAATATATCAAATTACAGCTAGATCGCATAACAGCATTATTCGGAAATACACCCGTTTATTAAAAAATTTAATATTTCAACCCCTATTTTCAGCCCTTAAAACATCATGTCTGCCGAAATAAAAAAATACGTATCAAATATTTTTCGATTCTTTACAAAATCTGCATAGGTAGAAGTCAATCCCGGAGTGGCACTTGGGTAGTGTTACTTGTTAGAACATATAATATAGGCAAAAATACATTGTTGCACTTTTAATTTTTAATTTTTTATTAATAATTCTATATGTGATGCTGAGTGATACATTATACAAGGTATACTGTTATTATATTGAACATAAATAAAAATGTTTAAGAAGATAACAAAAATAAAATAATTCTTATTATTTTTATCTATACTTTTACATGAATCATAAACTCATTTTAAACATGAAATAACCAGTGCACCATTATGCCTCGAAGTACATAAATTTACTTTAGATAATATAAAATATCACAGATAATCAATATATTTGTATAGATTTTACTAAAGTAACAAGAAAAGATTATATAATAAGATAAATGTACTTATGACAATAAAAAATAGAATTTTGTTATTGCTTACCTTATGCGAACATATCAAAGAATCTGTAACTCATTCGCGGACAATAAAGCGAACACATTAAACAATTTTTAGCAATTTTCAGGTAAAAATAATATGACAACTAATAACAATATATAATAAGATACGTCTAACAGTAACTATTGTCTGACAATTCATTACATATTAGCATATCTGTAAAAAGATATCGAGTACATCCCATTATACCCCATGGTTTCATTATACCTCAGGTTCCCCTACGTACAATACCCTCCATAAGTTTGGGAACACCCTACGTGTTACAGGTTTGTAAATAATTATTTAATTGAAAAAAGATAAAATAAAAATTCATACATACGTACGTTATCTATAATAGCATGCCATTAAAATATGGAATTATAATTAAAATACGAAATCTGATTCTTCGGGGCCATTTTATAATTTTTGAGTCTGAAATCAATTTGCAAGTAATTTACCACTTTTATAGAAACCGTTAAACTACAATTAAATGATTTGTGATGTGTATATACAACGAACACAAGTACGATATAGCAAAACAAATGGCAATATACAGGGTGTCCCATGACTCACCTGACAACGCTCGTGGGCAGGTAGAACGGACTAAACTGAGTCGAAAAGTCCTCTACTATTTTGTAATTTTCGCAATAGTTAACAAGATATTAATTACTAAAAATTGCCGAATGTTGGTCTTCAATAATTTTTTTCTCAAATACTATCAATTTTATAAAAAAACTGCAAGAGACAAAAATTGTTTATTTTCTTCTCATAGAACTCTAGAATTTTTTCAGAATTTTTTATCAACTTTTTAGTACTGCATTTTCTTATTTTTACCATCCATGAAAATCCGGTATTAAAAAATTCTGAAAAAATTCTGAAAAAATTCTCAGAACTTTATGAGAAGAAAATAAACAATTTTTGTTTCTTACAATTTTTTTATAAAATTGATAGTATTTGAGAAAAAAATTATTGAAGACCAATATTCGGCAATTTTTAGTAATTAATATCTTGTTAACTATTGCGAAAATTACAAAATAGTAGAGGACTTTTCGATTCAGTTTAGTCCGCTCTACCTGTCCACGAGCGTTGTCAGGTGAGTTATGGGACACTCTCTATAAACAGTAGATCAAAGCGCGAAATTCAATCTTGAGCGCTTCGATGCTGTGAGATGATTGGCTGACATATTTTCGGCATGTACAAGCTCATAGGTGTTCTAGATAAAAATGTTTATCGTCATTTAGACGTCTTATGACGTATTTAAACCAAAAATATGTATAGATCGCAGTCACGTAATAATTTTAAAAATGTATGGTGTTTCCAAACTTATGGAGGGTACTGTATGTTTATACAAATATCTTCTCCATACGTTTAAAAATTAATTTGTCAAAATTAGAAATTAATTAAATATTAATTAATTAAAAATGAAAGAATTTCTTTTGGTTCGGACTCGGCACATTTATTTTGGGGACTAACATCGAAATGGTAGTCTGTGAAAAAAAGTTTTTAATGAAAGATTTATGGTATTAGATTTAATTGTGAATTTAGATTTTTCGATATCAGTATATTGATCAATGTATTCTTTTAGTATATTGTTATTCCTAGGAATTTCAGTAATTTCATTTAAAAAACTTAACGAGTTTTCATGTCAAATTCTTTTATATATATGTATGTATATATATATGTATGTGTAACAACGTTTTATTACAATTTTACAATCATTTTTCGACAGTCTTTATTTGCGAAATATGCCATAAATATTGTATTACGAATATTCGTATTTTGCTGTGCCGTATAAGCATGAAATTAGGAATATTTATCTTTATTATTACTCTATAGCATGTGATGTAATGCAGAACAAGTAGTGATTAAATACGGTATGATATATATATATATATATATATATAGACGTATGTAGCACGCCAAATGCAAATAAAGCGCTAATGTGTATGTGTTGTATGCTTTTTTAAAATATATCTTTTAAATATATTGGGGACCTTTCCTTACATAATATTGTATATATGACGAAACGAATATTCGTGTCGTGCAGATTTATAAAAATAATTGAATTTAAGATGCTATGCATTTGTATGCTACTTCAAAATTGTAATTTTTCTGCTATGTTTTATATATTTTCCAATAGTTCTTTATAATGTATAATAAGTGTTTCTTATCATTGCGTTTAGCATGCATATATTTCTGTTTCAGGAACGTATTTTATTCTATACGATTTCATTGACTTCTTCGAGAAAGATCAAGCCAGTTTTTTGGATCGAGATAAATTTTTCAACATCATCAATACTATCTTCAAGAATATGTCGCAAATCGAGCGTGAAGCCATCATTTTTCAAGTAAGCTTCATTATATTATTTTTGTGCATTGCGCTACTATAAATTTTTATAAAGTTACGAATTTGAGCATAATACAATAATGACAAGCAATTTGAAAATATCTAAGCATTATTTATACTATATCCATCCATCCTTCATTTAGAGAAACGGCGTGTTAAGTCAATACTCGTATTTATCGAAGTATTGTTGCCCCTTTTCCATGATGACGATTCTCTCGCTGCGCTCTGCGCTTCGTGGACAGTTTTGTGTACAGAGGAATTAATTGAAATAGTGTAATTAGAAAAAATAAACATGATTAAATCAAATTGGATTACTCACGTTCTGTAGTATTTCATGCTTTTATTGTACATTATATATTTGAAACTGTTATAATTTTTAGAAAAGATGATATTAATCTTTTTTTTAGATATATATAAGAGTATTTGATATTTTCTACTGATTATTTTTATCAAATGATATAGATAAGTACGTGTAAATAATTACAATTTAGAAATTATCTCGAAGGGATAACCACTTAATGTAATCGTGGGACAGAGTCCTCGAAATCATTATAAAATTGATCATATGAAATCTCTATGTACATATAATCCAATAATTACATATGAAACCACGAGAAATCATTGTATAATATTAAATAAAATTGTATATTTTACCAAATGACTTTATATGTAGTCAAAATGTTCCCTAGTAGCACAATTCATCGGCGCAACATTGGCCCAACATATTCCCAATATATGCCAACGTTTAACCAATGTTTCGCCAATGAATTGTGCTGCTCGGGTTATTTGTAATCAGACGAAATCATATGACATCATGTAGGACAATATTTCAACTAGTGGTTACCCTCTCGGATTATCTGAATCAGAAAGAAATTTTAATTTGCAAGTTCTACTTTTACCATATGAAAACATTAATTATAACATTGTGGCTAGTTTCTATTTCGATGGATAACAATATGTGAGATGATTAATTCGATTTATAGTTATTGGTTATTTCTTATTTTCCTTTTTTTCTTTAAGAGAATAAAAAGGAAGAATGAGAGAGAGAGAGAGAGAGAGAGATTAAAATTCTGGAGAAAAGAGTAGCACAACTAGTCCCTCGGATAAAATACGCCCTGTGAAGTATGCATTCTTTATGCTTTAATCTAATTTATTGACTAACGAGTTAGTCAATAAAAGGAATAAAGTACAAAGTAAAAGATAACAGCATTGCATTTCAATAAGATTTATTTATACGAATAAAAAATAGGATGTATTTTAAAGTGTTAAATGCTCTTCTAAGAAAACAAGATTTTCCATGAGATTGTGACAAAACGAATTATGTTCTTTATCATACAACATACAGAAATATATGTATATGTTGACCAGAAGCGCAGAAGTGCAGTAGCACACTGCGACCTTTTTTCGCAAACTAACCACTTAGCGAGACCTCAGCTAAATATTTATTGACCTTGAGCGTTCTTCTTATTAGCTAACTTCAACTTGTAATCGTCACGAAGTTGTTTCAGACTTTATTTTTGCAGCATAAAGAAAAACAAGCAGACCATATGTCAGATGTCAATTTAATTGCTCACGGTTTACCAGTGGATATTGGATAGAAAGAACCATATACCATTTATGTGCGTGCTCTCTTCTTTTTTTTTCATAACTAAATTTTATAAAAATAAAATTATAATAAATATATAATTTCTAAGAAAAAAAATTTATACAATATATATATATTTTTTATTTTTTATTATATTTAATGTATAATACATGTTATTATGTTCAAAGCAACATAAACATTATACCTTCTAATATATATTTTTGCATTTGAAACTTTAAATATCCACATATTCGCGATAAATTATAGACTCGCAATATTGAAGTATCGCAATAATATTATACGCATGAATTTTCACGATTTACAGTAACGCGTTTATTTGTAAATAACAACATTGTAGCTGATAAACGCAATATAATTTCAACTTTCAGTTATAATTGTGACTTATTTATGTATACATGGATATCTTGCTGAAAATGTACGCCAGCTTCCGTTCGCTCGTCTAAAAAAGAACTGCCATGATTATATTATTAAACGTACATTTCTCACCGATGTGTATCGCACCAGATACACGAACGAGCGAAAAGTAAAAAACCGTTAATTGGAATGTCTACTCGCTATTTTTCTATTCCTTTTTCTACTGCTTTTTTCGTGCTTCCATCTTTTTTATGCGTCCGTTGATTTTCCCCGAACCACAATGCCTCGTATAATTGTAGTTATAACGAATCGTTATTTCTTTCTAATCAGAAAAAATTCTGCCTACCGGCCAATAAAGTTCAAATTTCTGTTTGATTTGACTGATTGTCAGAACATTTAATCGATCTGTTAGCTTTTGAATGAACAGATTGCAATTAACTCTAAACATTACTTTACTCGTCATATAATCATATTGCAAATGCAAATTATTTCAAATCGTATAGAGCTTTAGTTTGCATCTACAATATATTAATTACAATATACTAGTAGAATTACAATATATTAATAATAGTAATTACAATATATTAATAAGTAGTAATTACAATATATTAATAGAATGATTCTATTACATTTTTTCTAAAAAGTCAACATCTCTAGAAGTATAATTGCCACGATGCTATAGTTCTATCAAAAATATTTGTCTTGCAAAATTCATCGTGATACAATTGTGCTTCTTGAGATTTATGAAATATCCAGTATAGAATTTGGAAAATATACCTAGATCTTCATATTTTCCAAAATATATTGTGTGCGCTATAACCGTGCATTTTATCGACAAATACACGATTGTTATTTGTTACGGATCAATATGTAATCGAAATCGCTTTAAAAGAATTTTAAATGTCTTTGACTATTTTAAAAGTCTTTAAATAATCCAGGACAAAGTATTCGACGAACTTCATATCAACTATAAATATCCAGATCTACAATCTGGCGAACACTACATGGTGATGATAGATATCCATATCATTTACACAACGTTTTTGTGAATGCTATGTGCGTGCAGCCCTCGATAATAACTTTCAGTCAAACATTTTGTGACGGATGAAGCAACATTTACGAGAGCCGGTGTTTTAAATATACATAATAACCACCAAGGGAGGTATGAAAATTCACATACAGTGTCCGAGAGAGAGGGTTTCAACAGCAATTCACGTGAAAGGTATGGGCGGGAATATGCAACAATCAGATACTCGGATCTTACTTTTTGCCTGACAAATTAACAGCCTTTTTTGGATTTCCTACAAAATGAATTATTGCAGCCAGAATTGGTAGGAGATATTCCATTATTAATTCGTCAAATATATGTATATATGTTTTTACTTTGTATAATACATATATGTATGTGTGTGTATATATACATATATTATATAATATCTATTTAAAAAAAAATCAAGTTGTGTTATCGCATAAAATTTTATAAAGATCTTATAAAGGGAACGCTTTGCAACGAATACGACACTTGTATAGATTTTCTAGTGCGTAACGGGCCAGCTATAGTTACGAAGAAAATCGATATCGTTATGTATTGAGGGAATATTACTCTTCAAAGAGCCTCATTCTGCTAGCTGACCGCTAATTACTTTCCGATCAGCAGAACGGCACGTCAAAGTTGCTTTGTCAAGGGCTGCTTCATGGCTGCGTGAAACCTCGAGTTCCATGTACATTTCATTAAGTATCCGGGAACAAGGCAGTGCGAGGGTACCTTTCGTTTACGATGATATATATACGAGTACAATGCGCGTAAAGGTCGCCGGGAACTCATATCTTTGATAAATTCATGCCGCCTGCTGATCCCGCCCACGCGCGAGTGATCGAACGAAATGAATTCGTAAAGCCGCGCACTTCACTGCCGTTTCGATTAGAAGAAATTGACGATACAAAGTGTTTCGATGTAACCACCACTCGATGTTCTAGTAATCTCTTTTAACTCGCTATAAGCGTTGGTTTTTTTAATAAAATTTAGGTAAAAAATTATTTACAAGAAAACTTGACAGATATTTGCATCGCATAACAAAGAAAGAACTATATATTGTATACTATTTTCTACACAAAAGTAAAGGATTATCTTTTAACTATATAAAAAATAAAATTTCTGAAAATATTCTTCATTGACAGTGAACTAAAAAGTTTGGAAATAAAAAATTATAACAACTGATAAAATATTAATCTATAGTTATTAAACATAATCGAACAATATAATAAATTTTCTATAATTTAACACGTACTGATAGAGTTTTCATAACATAGTGATAGTCAACTGAATTACTATTGTTTATTTCGAGATATTAACTATGCATATTTTTAGACAATGCGTATTCATAGTCGTCCTTACCTTATGTTATAATTATTAAAATTACATTTTTGGACATTAATTAATAATTTTTAATAGGAATTTGTACAAATTTCTGTTTCAGTATACCGATTGGGATCAGGTGAACGATGGTTATCAGAACCAAAGGGCGATAGCAGACATTGTGGGCGATTATTTCTTTATCTGCCCATCCACACATTTTGCGCAATTATTCGCAGATCGCGGCATGAAGGTCTACTATTACTTTTTCACGCAGGTAAGTGGTTGTATCTATCATCATGTTCCATTATAGATATTAGTCAATAAGAATATCTCAAGAGATAATGACCAGCTGACAAACCGTTATTATTATATATTATGCATTTTGATAATTTCATGATGATACATTTCTATAAGGTAGAGCGGGGCTAGTTGTGACACTTTTTCTTTAGGTTGTTATAAATTTTCACATAATTATGATAGATTAATAGTAAATACTTTAAAATGTTGCATGTCCTTCCGATTCAATAATTATTATAAGTACTTATAAATTCTTAATATACCTCGTAAATAAGAAAAAAGTTTCATTTTTTACAAGAATGCAAAGTGGCTCAATATACCCCACCTATGGGGCACATTGAACAATCCCAAAGGATAGGTTAAGCCATGACGGTAATTGTGTAATAAGATTATATATTATTTAAAACATGAAAGGATTATGTGTATATTAATCAAATTTTTATTATAGTTTCTATCTTAAGTATAATAATTTGTAATACTGTGACAATCTTGCGTTTCGCGGGTTTTCTCCGTGTTCAGATCCATTCTTGGAATGCCAACGTTTCGTGAACCTTGCAGTTCACTTCATCAGGGCGAGGAGCAGCCTGATACTAAGCTGTTCCCCCGGGTCGTTCCTTTTATATTACGCTGCTTGTGTGGGGGGGGGGGGAGAAAATTGTGAGTCAAGGGG